CCCCCGAGGCCCCAGCCGCCGAGGCCCCAGCCCCCGAGGCCCCAGCCCCCGAGGCCCCTGGCCCGCTGAGTCCGCGAAGTTCGGAGAGAACTGCAGGAAACGCGCCCGCACTCCCTGTCTGTGCGCCGGGGTGTCCCACCGATCCGGCCACTTCTCGCAGTCGCGGTGGCGTCCCCGGCGGTGCGGGCCGCGGGAGCGCGAATTTAGGAAGCAGGAGTCTAGCTGGAGCGGCTGCTTCCCCTGCAGCGTGCTGTGCGACTGGCGCACTGTCTCTCCCTCTCTGGTCCTGCCAGCTCCAGAACACGTCGGTGGGGTGTGTTTCGTGCGCCCTCTCCCTCCTGGAGGTGTTCCTGCGCTTGGGGAGTCGTGCCCCAGAGCAGTGGAGGTCTCGTCCCTGTCTGATCGGCGGTGGGGGCACTCTCGGCCGCCCCTGGCCCACTGCCTGCTCCTTGCTGGGCGCACGCCCCACGGTGGGCCACCCTGGACTAGGGGGGCTTGGTGCGTAGGAGTTGGTGGGTGGATGGGTGAGGCTGGGCTGTCCTCTGAGCCCGGGAATACACGGTGCAAGGTGCCCGCTTGGACACATTTGGGCCACTCATGAGTGTTGGTGGCACTTCTGTGCCCTGCTGGGAAAGGTGAGGTGTGTACGGGGTCGCGGGGGATGGAGGTGGCCCTCTGCAAGAGCTGCAGGACTTGCCTCTGCTCAGCAAGGGTGCCCCAGGTGGTCATTGACACCCCACCTCCCTGCGGGCTGACCTTCAGATGCCACGGACCTGGCCGCAGACCCCTGTGGAGTTCGCGGGGCCTCTCCCAGCAATCAGGAGCAGAGCTCCTTGCCTTGGGCCGGGCAGGTGGCCCAGTCTTGGTGGAGAACTTGCGGCGTGCCATGCGCTGTGCTGAGCAGTTAGTAAGTGAGCCTACCTGCTTGAGAGTAGTAGCATAGAGCCACTGTGTTGACCCCGGGGTCAAGCCCTGGCTATCTGCCTACTACCGCAACCCCATCCCCCGGCATCCCCCGGCGGGCCCTAGACGTGACTCAAGAGTGTTGAATGAGATGATCTTTACGAAGGATCTGCTCTCAGGCCTGGGCTCTGTCTGGGCTCCATAAACCCAGGACCACCCCTCGGGGGTTGTGGCGCCATTTCTGCACCTTTGCGGTCTGATCTGATGGTTGGCTCTTCCCACCCTCAGCCCGCTGCAGTTGAGCAGCTGACCGGAGCCGGACTGAGGCCAGCACGCCTTTGCCAGCACTTCCCCCACCAGCACTCCAGTGTCCGCACAGACATCCATCAGACAACGGAGGTGAGCGGGCTTTCAGGGGACAGGGCTCTCTGTCCCTTGCCTTGTAGAACCTAGTTCTTCCTGTGGGTCCTGCCGCCGGCCCAGGGACAGTGGGTCTACAGGAGGGACCTCTCCTAAGTGCCTGCGATCCTCAGAAACGAACTTCTTGGGCTGTCTGGTCTGGGTGTGGTGTGCCCTGGGACACATGTCTGAGGCAGGGGCAGGAGAGGCCCTGGAAGCCGAGCAAGGGACAGAGGACAACGCTCTGCCTTCTGACGCTGTCTCTCTCAGCGACTCAGACTCTGATTTCAGCCTGCCTGCCGGTGCTGAGATGGAAGCTCTGTCCCCAGGGGTGCTGCCTGGGGAGGCCCAGGGGGACTCAGACCCTGATGAGTCTCCTTTGCCTCCGAGGGGCCTCCCCACGGCCTCAGTGCAGCCGTTCCACCTGAGGGGCACGAGCTCCACCTTCTCCTGGCGGAGCCACAACATCTTTGACTGCCTGGAGGGCGCAGCCAGGCAGGTTCTGCCCTCTGTGGCCCAGACTGGCCCGGGTGACGATGGGGGCTTCCTGCGCCCACTGGCACCCTCAAGCCAGCCTCCAGGAGAGGGCCCAGGCAGGGCCGGTCAGAGCCCTGCCCCCACAAAGTTGCCGCCCGTCCCTGACTATGTGGCCCACCCTGAGCGCTGGACCAAGTACAGCCTGGAAAACGTGGCCGAGGTCAGCGAGCAGAGCAACCGGGCCACTGCTCTGGCCTTCCTGGGCTCCTCGAGCCTGGCTGCCCCCAGTGACTACATGCCCTCTTTCAACCAGGATCCCTCCAGCTGTGGGGAGGGAAGAGTCATCTTTACCAAACCCGCCCGAGCTGGCGAGGCCAGGCCTGAGAGGAAGAGGGCCCTAAGGAAGGCTGGAGAGCCGGGAAGGGCTGCGCCTGGGAACCTGGGCGCCGCAGGGAGCGAGGGCCCTGTGGAGCTGGCCCACCTGGCCGGGCCTGGGAGCCCCGAGGCTGAGGAGTGGAGCAGCCCCCACGGGGGCCTTCAGGAAGTGGGTGTGCTGCAGGCCGCTGCCCACGCTGGGTCAGCGGCAAGGCCCCCAGTGGTGGAGACTGTTGGCTTCCATGGCAGCAGGAAACGGAACAGAGACCATTTCCGGAACAAGAACAGCAGCCCGGAGGCCCCAGGTGCTGAGATCTAAGAGAAGAGACTGACCAGGCTGGCGGAGGAGGGCAGCCAGGGCCACTGGCCACTTGGGGTGGAGCGCAGCTCGGGGCCCCAGCCCCTCGGGAAGGGAGCCAGCGGACTGCCAGTCGGAGGTGCCGGCAGCCTGGGCTGAGGCTCAGGGTAGTGGTCTCTGAAGCAGACCGCTTGCCAGTGGATGGCAAAAACCCTGCCTGCCACGTGCCCGTGGGGCAACAGTAAAGGTTTGGGGTATTCCTTCGGCTTTGTGTCTCTGTGTAGATCCTTCTCCTCAGGACCAGTGTGCTAGGGCCTCGTCTGCCACCCGGCACACCCACATGCCCTGTTCTCTCATTCGATCCTCCCCAACTTAGTGCCAGGGGGCATGGAGGCTTTTTAAATAGACGCCTGGGTTTATCAGCAGCCCGTCTTCCCAGAGGGACTGAGGCAGCCCCTCCTGGGTCCAGAGCAAGAGGTGCAGAAGGCCCCGGGCACCTCCAGGGGGTGAGCTCACAATCCCAGCTGTCCAGCCTCTGCCCCCAACAGGGCTGGGGACAAGGAATCTTGATGAAATGGGTCTCTAGGAGGCCAGCATGTGAGTGGGGACAGGGGCCCTCCCCAGCCCTGGCCACTCTTGCCCCTTAGCTCTGGCTTGCCTGGGCTGTGTGTGATGATGACCAGTGTCCTGGGACCACATCGCCAGAACAGCTGAGCTGTGTGCAGGGACCCTGCTGGTGTGCCCGGGCCCAGCGGTGGGGGAAGGAGCACTAGCCCCTGAGGGTGCCAGGGAAGGCAGACCGGGACAAACATGTACCCCCTGTGCCTGGTGACAGGACATAGCAGAGACTGGCCAGCCTTCCGTCCCAGCCCCAGACCCCCGAGGGAAAGGGGGACCAACGTGGCTAGCCGCTCACCCTAGCTAGGGCCAGCACAGGGGCATGGACCCCCCTCTCACAGGCAGGGAAATCCGCTCAGTGCCCCGTGGCCTTCACTGACTTGGTGTGGGTGTGTTCTCTTAGGAGAAAGCCGCCGTGGGGCCAGAGGTGAGTCGTCTTGGGGCAGTGTCCTGGGGCTATAACCCAGGCTAGACATAGTCCGGCACTTGCCGTGTGAGCAGGTGAGGGTGTGCAGGGCTGGGAGCCAACACGCACAGTCAACACCCGGCTCCAGGTCCTAAAGGGCAGAAGTTCTAGCTGCTAGTGTTTCCAAAAAATGAGTTTTAACAGGTGACACAGGTTGGGTAGGAGACAGGTATGGGCCCCAAACTGTTGCCCACCAGACGGGAGGTGCTTCGGCCCAGGCCGGGCAGTTGTGGATGGGACCCACGGGGCTCCCCCAGTCTGGAGAGGGCCCCCCGTACACCATGCTTCCACGTGGAGAGAGGTCCCAGGGAAGGTGCCAGGCAGGGCAAGGGGTGGTTTCTTCTGATGAGGCCACTAGAGCCACATGCCACTGAGGGCCCCGCAAGAGGTGGGGGACGTTTGGTGTGTCTCTAGGGCCTGGGATGGCCAGCTAAGGGCCCTGTCCCTGCCTGCCCATCGTGATCGGGGCGCTGGGAGAGGTGGGCCCCGTGTGCGGACCGTCCAAGTGGCTCAGGCGTCTGAGAGCCACCGGCCAGCCTCTGGGTGCTCGCTGCTGTCTGCATCCCCTCTGAGGCCAGCAGAGGCTTGCTGATGTCCACCTTTGAAGGTCTGGGAGGCTGCTGAGGAAGGAAGACCCCTTAGCTACTGGGTGTCTGTTGGGGCCAGCCCAGGGAAGGGAGAGGTGGCTCGCGCACACTAGCACGGGGCACGGTGGCCCCAGCTGGGAGGAGGTGGGAGGGCTGCCACCAGGCAGAGCCTCCAGAGTCCGAGTGGCCACGCCCTCGTGCCGGCTGAGGTGGGGGGCTCCAGCAGAGGGCACCTGCCCCACCCCGAAGACGTCGCCAGCCACGGGCCATCGAGGGCTGGGCCAGTCCTCCCAGGACGGGAAGGCAGATGACAGGGCCCAGCGCGACAGTCCTCCGCCTGTCCCCAGGCCAGCCTGTGCCCCTTCCTCAGCTGTGTCTTTCCCGGATGCACACTTACTGCAGCAGGCGCTGCTCCGAGGCCCAGGGGACAGCGGGGCCGCGGAGGACGGCAGGGCCGCGGAGGACAGCAGGAGCGCCGCGCAGTAGTCGATCTGGAGGAGGGGGGAGAGGCGTCCGGGGGGCCCCAGGGCCCTGCTACCCCGTGACCCTCCCCTCCGGTAGCTGTGCTGGAGGGAACGGGTGTGAGGGCGGGGGTCCAGGTGTGCAGAGTGGACAGTGAGGGGGTCCGGACGGCAGGACCCCTTCCAGGGAGGGCACGCTGTCCCTGAAGTCACATGTGGGGACAGGTACAGGTACTGCACCCCCCAGGGCCTCGCCCTGCCCTGCCTCCTGCTGAGCCAAAGCCTGGGTGCGGGCCCGGTAGTTGGGATGTCGGGGTGCGGGGCTGTGGGTGAGGGCCCCAGTCTGCCTGCCTACCTGTGACTCCAAACGCTTGATGCGCTTCTCTTGTTCTCTCAGTCCCCCGAGGTACTGGGCTACGGACTCCACCCTGCAGCAGAAGCTGGTGGGCTCAGGGTGCTCCACATTTGGGCGATCTCCCCATGGTCCCCAGATCTGGGTGCAGAGCCCCTCTGCCCTCCCTGGGAGCTCGATGGGGCTGAGTGACTGCCAGCAAGAGCGGGGGACAAGGGCAGGCAGGAGGCCTGAAGGAACTGCTGGGATGGACCATTTTGGGGGGACCCAGAGCAAGGAGGACCCCACCTATATCAGCCCCTCACCCCTCTCAGCTTCAGCCTCCCCAGCTCAGAACTGTGCCCGGCAGGCGGCGGCCACACCGGCTTTAAGGCCGCCAGCCGCTCGGCAGTGACGGTGGCAGAGGTCCAGGGGGATCTTACAACCTCTGGCACCCCGCTCGGGGTCCGGCCGTCCCTCGGCAGGCCCTTCGCCGGCTCTGCCAGCCCCTCTTGGCGGCCCGCAGGGGACACAGCCCTGGTGTCCAGGCCGGGGGGCTCCGGGGCACCCGTGCAGCCCCCACACACCTGTGGGCGGTTTTCCGCAGCACCTCCTCCTTGCTGTCCTTCCTCTGCTTCTCCAGCTTGCTCAGGTAGTTCTCTTTCTGAACTGCCTCCCAGGTGACCATCTGCTGGTCCAGGGGCTCCGGCAAGTCTCTCTCTGGGAAGGCCGGGGCGGCCACAGGCTTGGCTGGAGCCAGGTGGACCTCGGGGCCAGGGGAGCCCAGGGCAAGCCCCCCGCCCTCCGGATCACTGCAGACGGGCCCGTGGTGTGAGGGGGAGGAAGGCGATGGGCTCAGCCTGTGCTGGCTGCTCTGGGCCTGGACAGAGCCCGGCCTGGAGGCCTTGGCGGGGGGCTGAGGAGGGGACCCAGGCCTCTGTGCGCCTGCCCACCCAGCATGTTGCCCGTCCCCTTCCATGCGGTCCAGGGCCGCCAGGCCGTATCCAGCCCTGTGGCCTCACCCAGGTGCTCCCGCTTCTGCTCGGCCCCCTTCTGGAAGAACCTCTTGAGCACCAGGCTCAGGTGGCTGAGGACGATGAAGGGTGGTGCCAGGGCGGGGCGCTCGTGGTACTCCACGATGAGGTGATAGCGCTGGAACTTCCAGAACATGTCGGCGTTGCCCTGCACCACCTGGAACGTGTAGCTGTGGGGCCCGCGTGTGGGCGGTGGAACACGCATGGGCCTCCTGGGTCCTCCATCCTGGTCCCTGCTGCGGCCCCACACCACTCCCAGGGGCCCCCCCACTTCTGTGATGGTCTCTACTGCCTCGTTGCCCTCTGCGGGGTGTGTCTAGAATGGGGTTGCTCACGTGGGGTCTTCACCATCCCCTCTGCTCTCCTGGACAAGCCCAGGCTTCCCTGGTGCAAACCTGCCCTGGGAGCTACCCTTCCCCACGCCTGTCATTCGCCCCACCGCCTCCTCGGGGCCTTGCCCTCCCTCAGCCTGTGGTACAGGCTCCAGTCCCTCTGGGGGCGGGGGTGCAGAGAGGCCCCTGCACACGGTCCCTGGGGCCCCCCCGCACATGGAGGGAGCACGGGGAGCGGACCACCTGAACATGGCGATCAGTAGGTTCATGAGTAGCACGTTGGTGACCAGCAGGAAGGTGACTAGCAGGAGGATGACAAGCCAGTTGGCATAGAAGTTCGGGCAGGAGGGGGAGTCCTCCTGCAGCAGGGGGTGCAGGGAGCAGTTCACGCGGGCTTCTGAAACACAAGTGGCATGGTGGGGGTCGCCTGGACTGACACCCGCTGATCTTGAGAGCTTCCTCGGGGTGAGGCCACCCAGGGGCGGAAGGCAGTGGCCAGATGGCCCAACTACCCTGGTTGGCTGGGGATTATCGGGCTTAGCACTGAAAGTTCCTGTGTTAGGACACCCCAGTCCTGGCAAACCAGGGAGACAGTCCGCCAGGGGCACTGGTCCCACTCCCCCACCTCCTCCTGACTGTGGTCGCAGCAGGGCCACAGGTTCTGGGGGCAGAGCCAAGGCCATCTAGGGGATGGGGCACAGAGAACCCCAGTTTCTGCTGGTAGGTGTGTGCATTCCCCACCACTACCACCACCAAGGGCTGTCTGTGCTCGAAGCTGGTGTGGAGAGAGCTGGCCGAGGCGAGGGGTGACCCTGTCTCCCCCTGCAGGACTTGTCAGGGACTTTATAACACTAAAGCCTGTCACAGGGCACCAGCTTGGGCGGGGGTGGGGGGCAAGTCTGCACCATCTCCAAAGCTCATCTGGCCACACTGCCCTTGACCCTGATTGCCACAGGCACTGTGGACACAGAGCACCTCTGGGCCATGCCAGCTCACAGAACATTCTCTGGCCAGTGGGAATGAGTGTGCGATCTGGGAGCAGGCTGAGCTCTGCACCCCGGGCTGGCATGCCCTGGGCGGCCCGGGGATCACAGCTCCGGCCCCTCACCAGCCAGCACCCCCACACTCACGGGACAGGAGGTGTGGGGGGAAGGAGCAGAGCGTGAGTGTACAGGCCATGGCCGCCCGGGGTGCTTGCCGCATCTTCCTCAGGAAGGGGCCCGTGGCCGCATATGTGCGTGCGCCCGTGTGCCCATGTGGATGCTGCCCACGCCTGTACGCTGGACTGTTCCCACGGCTGCCTCCCTGGGTCTCCGTGCTGTGAGGCCTCGGTCTCTATCTACGTGTGCGTACCTGTGTCCCCACGCTATGCGCACGTGTCGGGCTGACAGGGCCTGTGTTCCTGTGTCCGTGTCTCCCCCCACCCCCTGGGAGCGGAGCCTCTCCTACTTTCCCCTGAGGGAGTTTTTGTGCCGGGCCACCCACGGGGAGCTGCTGAGCGTGCGGTAGGGCGGGGGCGAGCAGCATCCTCCCTGGCCTGGCCCACAAGTCTGCTCGGGGCTGATTCACAACCCTCCTCCCTCCCCCAGCGCCCACACTCTGAAGCAGTGAGACCCCTGTGACCCCCCAAAGGTGCCACCAGGCCAGGCTGGAAATTAAATTGTCCCTGGGGCTGAAGCCAGACTGAAGTCAGCCCCAGGGCTTCCCGCCTGGCGTGCAGGGACGGGGCGGGCAGGGTGGCACTCTGGGCCCCAGGCCCAACGGCTGAATGTGAGTGACTCAGCCTAGCCCTACCCCCCCGTGGTGGGGTTACCCAGAGGCCTGAGCAGACAGGAAGCCCAGCCCCAAGAGGGGAAGGGGCCTGTCCGGGACCCTCAGGGAGCTGGCCCAGGCCTGGCCCTAGTGACGGGCTTGCTGCTACAGCACTCTGCCCACCTGAGGCAGCCCAGGGACTGGGGGGGAGGCCTGTACTCCCTCTGCCCTCCCCGGGTAGCCCCGGGCTCCTGGGGAACAGGGGCCATGACCCCACCACACACCACTGTCCCCCCATACCAGCGTGTGGCTGGGGCCCGAGATGTGGCCCTTCAAGTGACCCAGTGCTCCTCGCCTCCCAAGGGCCCCTGCAGGACAGGGCGGCCAGGGCCCATACGGGGGCTGAGACTAAGGGCCTGGAACACTGCGAATGAGCAAACACCGAGGAGTCACGGGGGGCAGCCCACACAAACAGACCGAGGCAACGGGCCTCCAGGACACCCCAGGTAGCACCCCTCCCCATCCTGGTGGCCCATGTCTGCATCACCCCACTCTCACCCGACTGACAAATCCATTCCGCGGGTGGCGGGCATGCTGACCCTGCCTCACTAGCTCTGGGGGTCGGGTCAGGCCTTAGACGTAGTGCTCCCGTGACTGCCCTGGGGCCCTGGGTGGCCCCGGTCCTGCGCCAGCCAGAGCAGACGCCCTTCCCTGAGTCCTTACATGGGCCCCTGGCGCTGGCTCACCTTCCTTGAGGGGCTGGTTCCCTCTCCTCCCCCTCACCGGATCCTAGCCATCTCCGGGGCCTGCCCAGGTGTCTCTGGCGCCCACGCCAGGGCTCCCCTGCACCTGTCACCACCCAGCCCCCCACAGAGGAGCAGCTCTGCCTCCCAACTGTACCCACTGCCTGAGAAATTCTTGGAACCCCCACTGGCCCTCAGCCCGCACAAGGGCCGCCTGGAGACACCTACACCCTCTGGTAGGCGCGCACACTTGACAGTGGGAAAGGCACACACACTGGGGTGTGTCCCTGGAAGCAGCAAGGGCGCGGTCAGGAAACAGCCCCTCGGCAGACGGGCCTTGACAGCAGGCGGGCCCAGGGCCCGGTGTGGAGCCTCTGGCAGGGGGGTGGGGGACAGGGAGGCCCACTGTCCAGCAGGGCCGCCCAGGAGGGCAGAAGCACCAGCACGTGGATTGGCCCCATGATGGTGAGGGATGCACTGGGATGGCCCCTGCCCGTTTTGCAGCCTCCTCGCGCCTCAGTTCCTAGCCTGGTGCCCCAAGTCTCAGGTCCCTGGGATCAACAGAAATAAACCCGGAGCTGTCCCTGGGCTGTGGGGCCTGGGGGCCAGCCTCAGTGACTTCCCCATCTCAGCTAGCTCCTGGTTGGGGCCTCACGTGACCCTGAAAGAGCCCTCTCAAGGGCCCCATGTCCGGGGTGTTATAAAAGGAGACTGTAAACCAGACCCCATCTGGCTGTACCACAAAATGGGGGGGTCCTTCCAGCCGGCTCAGAGGCGCCGCCCCCCCCAAGCCATGTGCTAACCATCGATCTCGTCCAGTGGGATTTGCCCGAAGATCTGCAGGTAGGGCCGGTAGAGCACACGGCGGAAGACCCACTCCAGGCGCCTGTCATGGGGGTGCAGCAGCGCCTGCGTGGTCACGCCGTAGGCCACAAGCCACACACTCAGGAAGAAGAGGAAGAAAAAGACGTCCTTCATCTCCGGGGGGAAGCAGAGAGTGTTAGCAGTCTCCCAGCCGGGGACGCTCTCCCACCCACCACCGGGAGCCAGGTGGGCTCACGCACCGCCGGGGGCTCACCATGCGCTCCACGATGATGATCTTGGGGCCCAGCTGCTTGTGGATGGCGAAGATGTGGATGAGTCGGAGTGTGAACACCATGAAGTCAATGGCAAGGACTGTGCGGCCCGCCTCAAACATGGAGGGCACCATCCTGGGGGAGGGTGGCGGGTTGGTTGGGCTGCTGGTGCCCACAGAGGGGAAGGAGCGTCCTCCAGGACACACAGCACGGGCGCCAGAGACAAGCCGGGATCTCTGAGGCCTTTCGTGGCTTCATCCTGCAGGTGGCCCTGCCCACCGGCCCAACCGAGCCGGCCCCCGCCAGGCCTCTGGGCCCCACAGACCTGCAGGTGACGCCGACAATGAACAGGAAGATGGCCACCATGTCACACTTGTTCCAGTTATCTTCCACGTAGAGTGTGAACTTCTTCACCAGATGTGTGTCCTCGTCTGTGAAGAATCCCTGGCAGAGGGGCAGACAGTCCGCTGACAGCTCACTGGAGACAGCCCCGCCCAGCCCAGGCTGCGGCTGACAGGGATCAGGGCTCAGTGGGCTCGGCCCACCACTGACCTGCCGGATCTCTTCCAGCACTAGTGTAAAGACCCAGAAGTAGAGGGTGACCTCGGGCCCAGACGGCCCCTGAGGAGGTGGCCTGAAGTCCACCAGCAGGACGTAGGTGAACAGGAAGAGGAAGGCAAAGTACATGACCACGTTCCCCAGGAACACGGTCACGGGCGCGCCCCAGAACATGCGCCAGCGCGTGAGCAGGAAGGCAGCACGCGGCCCTCGGTCGCCCTCAGCCCTTGGTGCCTCAGCCAACTCCTCCGGCCTGCAGTACAAGGAGACCACAGCCACCGGTGAGGTGGGCAGCCTGTATGCCATGGCGCGAGTGCCACCCCCTGGCCAGCCCGCCCCATGGCCCTCACCCGCTGCCGGGGCTGCAGAGCAGTCTCTTCTCCGTGTCCAGGCTGTCCAGCTCCTGCAGGCCCTTGGGGCCCGTCCTCAGCGGGGCCTCCTCGCTGCAAGCACAGGGGACCCTCAGGGTCCACGGGGAGGGCACCAGCCAGCAAAGGAAGTGCTGAGTGCACTGAGAGGGTCTGCGCACAGCGGGGCCCACACGGATGCCGGAGACGCACCCCCAGTGGCACCCATGAAGCCCAGCCCAGCCCCCCCCCCACGGCTGGCAAGCTGGCAGCCGCCTGCGCCCAACACACCTGAAGGTGATGAGGTTGGTGTAGATGAGGGCCGGGCAGAGGAAGGCACAGAGCAGCCGCAGGATGGGCGTGCCCGATGCCATGTCCCCCCACCAGATCTTGGTCAGGAAGGCCTGAAATAAAGGCACCGCCGCTGGCCTCCCACCCCTACACCTTTGCTGACACTGTGCCCGGCATCAGGCGCGCCCTCCCAGGCTCAGCCAAAGCCTCGCCCTGCATCCCGGTGGGGAAGACCCTTCACGGGGGGAGGGAGGCCGGGTTTGGGGGTGTGGGAGGGCCGAGCGGAGGAGGCGGCACCTCTGCGGAGATCCGAGGCGGACAAAGGTCTGGCCGGGGGCAGCGAAAAGGAAGCCAGGCAGGTGCCTTCCAGGAGCAGAGCTCCTCTCCTGCACCCCCTGCCCTGCGTGACCAGGACTTGAAGAGCGGAGGCAGGGGAGGCCGGCCCTCCCTGAAGCCAGACACTCACCTGCACCCCATCGTGGGCAAAGAAGGACTTGGTGTCGGCCTCCGTGGCCAGATGCAGACAGGTGGTCCTGCTCCAGCAGCGGTTCCTACGCACCAGCAGGGCGAACGCACGGTCCTCGCTGTTGCTGTAGCACTCGGAGAAGAGATCTGCCCGGGGACACCAGCCGCTGGTACCCACAGGGCCACGGCCCCCGGCCTCCTCCCTCCTGTGCCCGAGCCGCGCCCAGCTTCCAGCATGGACACTGGCCGTGCCCGCCTGCCCTGCCTTTCCCTCCCCCCACCGTCACCCCACGTGCCCCGACCGACCTCCAACAGGACCCAGTGTGTGCCCAAGGCCACCACCGAGGACCCCTCTGTCCCTCTGTTAGAATGTTAGGGTCCGCCTCCCCACTAGGAGGAGCCTCTGAGTGGACCCCGGGCTCCGCCACATGCGTTGGCTGCGCGCTGGGCCGGTGGCTCACCCAGGGCCAGCTGCTCGTACTTGGCCTCGCTCATGGTGCAGTGCACCCCCGCCCCGGTCTCCAGGCGCGACATCTCTCTGAGGATCTTGCAGGCAGCCAGAGCGGCGGCCACCCCCTCCTGGCCCTAGGAGGCAGGGTGAGAGGAGGCGGCCTCCCCCGCCCCTCCCCGCCCCCCAGGAGCCCGGGGCCAACCCACCATGGCCCAGAAGTAGGTGGCCATGTCGTGGTGGTTTTGCAGCACGGCCCAGAGGAACAGGTCCCGCCAGGGGTTCTCGCTCTTTCGGTTCAGATCCAGCAGCCACTTCCGGCCCTCGGGCCGCCTGGCCGACCCCCGTTCCTGGAGGACAGGGCCATTTCAGCCGCCTGGCTGCCCAGCCCAGCCCCTCCTGGCCGCCAGCCCGCTCACCTCCTGGTAGAGCCCGCGACAGGCGTCGTGCAGGAAGTCCTTGAGCAGGCGGGAGACCTCCTGCAGGGAGAAGGCAGGCAGGCCCACGGGCGGCTCACGGGCTTGCTGGGCGCCCAGGCCAGCCAGTGTCAGCGGGCCCTCCTCGTGCTTGCGCTGCAGCAGGTCGAAGAGCAGGCTCTTGGGGGGTGTGGAACGGTAGAGCTGCTGTAGCCGCCCGTACGTCAGGAAGTCCCCCATGTCGGCGCCGTTGTCCACAAAGAGTCGCACAAACTCGGGCTTGTCACTCACCAGCGCGTCCATCATCACCTCCTCCAGGTCACAGGACTGGGGCCACCACGGGACACGCCCAGGTGGGGGAGACGGGCAGAGTGAGTGGGAGCAGGTGCACAGGGAGCCCCCCAGCTCCTGTCCCTCCGAGCCAGCTCCGGACCATAGGGGCCACCAGTCCTCCCGGGGGGCCGTGCACAAGGAGCCCCCAGCAGGTGCCCTGGCCTCCCCGCCCCCCTGGGCCACAGCAGGCAGGAGGGGGCCCGTCAGTGGCCCTGGGAACACCGTCTGCCCCCAGGCCCTCGACACGGCCCCCGCCCTGTGTTGGCCAGAAATGCGGCTCAGGAGGCATCAGCTGGCCGGCAGGCAGGCACCTTCCACTCCACATCCCCGTTGAAGATCTCGCTCCTGGCGATGTCCACGCGGTCCCAGGCCACGGCCAGCTTGAGCTCATCCAGGTAGTCCTGTGCTTCCTGGCTGTGGCTCTTGCAGGCTGCGGGCAGAGTGCGCGGGAGGTGAGGGGCGAACCCAGGGGTCCACAGAGCCTGTGGGCACAGGGCCCCTCGCGGTGGTCTTCCGGACACACAGCCCAGGAACCGCAGCCTGCTTCATACTCTCTGAATAATGGTGAGAGGCTCCCAATGTTGCAAGACTTCCAGAAGCCGGTGCTGGGAGCCCTGGCAGAAACGCTGGCCCCCGGGACCCTGATGGGATGGGGTGAGCAGAGCCGGAGGCCTGCGGGAGGAGTGTTCCCTCCCTCCCTCCCTCCAGGGCATCCCAGCCCCAAACTGCCCCTCCGGGCCTGGGTCTATGTCTGGCTTCCCCAAGGTCAGTCCCTTGGTATGGCTGGTCTCCAATGTGGAAAAGCATATCGAGTGACAGCCGGATGGTGAATCAGCCCAGTGTCGTCGATCAAGGAACAGGGAAACATAAGGCAGTCCTTGCACACCGTGGAAGATCCCTCAGCCTTAAAAAGCAATGAGGCACCCACCCGTTCCGCAGCCTGGGCGATGCAGCGACAGGAGCCGAAGGCCACACACTGTAGCCCATTGACAGGAAGGGCCCCAAAAGGGCACATCCGTCCAGGCAGAATGCAAGCCAGTGGGCGCCAGGGGCCCGGGAAACGGCGTGCTGGACGGCTGCCAGCTGCTTTAGGGGCAGTGAAGGTGTTCCGGAATTAGACGGTGGGGATGGTTGACAACTTGCAAATGGACTAAAAGCCCCTGGATTGGACACTTTAGTTTCTTAAATTATGGTAAAACATAGCAGACCTAAAACCTGCCAGACACGACCCTGTACGGATCTGTGTGTCATCTCTGTGTCATTCCAGTTTTGCCACATGTGCTGCCGAAAATGTGAGCGCTGGGCTGCACACGCACACACGCTTGCACACACATAGGTGTCCGCACACATGCACATGCTCTCACATACACAGTTGTGCTCACATTCGTGCTTACACGTACACAGGCACACACACCGTGCACATGTGTGCAAAGGCACACGCACACACGGGTGCTCACACTCGTGCTCACACGCACACAGGCATGCACCCGTGCACGTGTGCAAAGGCACACACACACACAGGTGCTCACACGTACACAGGCACACACACCCGCGCACATGTGTGCAAAGGCACATGCACACACAGGTGCTCACACTCGTGCTCACACGCACACGTGCTCGCACGCACACAGGCGCGCACCCGTGCACATGTGTGCAAAGGCACACGCACACACAGGTGCTCACACTCGTGCTCACACGCACACACAGGTGCTCACACGTACACAGGCGCACACCCGTGCACATGTGTGCAAAGGCACACGCACACACAGGTGCTCACACTCGTGCTCACATGCACACAGGCGCGCACGCGCACACACACACACAGCAGAGGGATGCCATCCCAGGAGTCCCGGCTGCTGACATCCCTCCTGGGCAGTGGCCCTGCCCCACGTGCCGGGCCTGCAGGGTGAGAGCCACGATGGGGCAGTGTGGAGAGCAGCCCCGCGCCAGATGCAGAGCCCGGGGCCGTGGGGAGCAGTGGCTGGCCTCCCTGCCTCCACCTGGGGCCCTCACCTTTCACCAGCACCTTCAGGATGACGGTGTCCAGCTCCTCGGAGCTCTCCTGCTCGAAGTCGTGCACGGTGAGCAGTTGCGGGTGGGAGATGATGTTCTGCAGCTGGGACATAGGACAAAGGCCCTGAGGTGGCCCTAGGGGCAGAGGGCAGGCCGGTGGGCAGGCCACAGGCCCAGCATGGTTGGCGGCACTGCCTGGTCACTTGGCATGTGAGGCAGGTCCTAGCGAGCTGGCCAGCTGGCTGCCCAAGGGCACCGGGGCATCACCTCCCCCAGCCCAGGGGGCTCACTCCCAGGTCCCTTGCTCCAAGGGCCTAAAGCAGAGCTAGCTTGGAGGCTTCGTGGGGAGAGGGAGGAGCCTGGGACTTCTGTGTGGGCCGGGGGCACAGAGGCGCCCAGGAGGAGTTTCTCCCTGGGTCAGCTCCCGCCCCCGCAGGAGAAGGGGATGGGACAGGGAGGAGGGCCTCGGCCTTTGGACCCCACAGTCCCTGGGAGGCTCCTACCAGCTCCGTCCAGTGTACGATGTCCTCCCAGCAGAAATGTTCGCCCGGAAACTTCTCTTTAAACTGCTTCTCGGCTACCTGGGGCACCAGGAGGTCGGGCTGGTTCAGCAGGGCGGCCAACACGTCCGCGATGCCCCCTGAGCCCGCCAGGATCAGCCACGGGGCAGCATGTTCCACGGCCCTGGAAATCCTCTGAGGCAGCACAGTGGGGAGAGTGGACCCCACATCAGCTTGGGCGCCGTCCTGAGCCCACGTGCTGGAGGTGCCCTGTCCCAGGCCGGGGAGGGCACTGCAGGCAGCTACGGCCAGCCAGGGGGGCCCCCGCCAGGCCCCCGCCTCTCTCCCCTGCCCTACCTCCAGGGTGCTGGGGTCACCATTGACCAGCAGACAGAGGACAGGGATCTCGATGCTGCCAGTGCCTGCGGACAGAGCACCCGTGAGGTCTGCCCCAGTGCCCAGGCAAGGGGGGGCCTGGCACCCTCCCTGTGGGGTGGCTGCCTGCTCAGACCATCAACCCACCCCATTTTCTGGGCAAATGCTGGCCCAGAGACAGTTTCAAGTGAATGTGGGTTGCACAGGCTGCATATCGCACACACCAACCCCTTCACCTCGGGACCATTATGGCCACTCATGGCTATTTCCACAGAAAGGAATGTCAATGAAGTCAAATGTTCAGTCTCCAGCCGCACCAGCCACAATTAGGTGCCCAGCGTCTATCCCATCTATAGGCAAAAAGTTCTCCAGCCGCGCTGCAGACTGCTGGAGGCCCACAGACGCAAGCCAGAAAGGTAAAGGAGGGGCCTCAGCCTGTTCGTCCCCCAAATATAAACCAGAAACGAGACTTCGGAATGTGAAGCCAGCTAGTGCTGGGCAGGCAGGGGCCACCAGGCTCCCGGGCAGTTGCCTCCCGATCGAATCTGGAGGCTAGATCAGTGTGTGGGGGCCATCCAGGCTCCAGCAAACCAGAGCACCGCACCACCTCTGTGATTTAAACATGCCTTTGGTTGTGTTTTCATTTTTATTTTTTTAAAGATGTTATTTATTTATTTGACAGAGAGAGAGAGACAGCGAGAGAGGGAACACAAGCAGCAGGAGTGGCAGAGGGAGAAGCAGGCTCCCGGCTGAGCAGGGAGCCCAATGTGGGGCTCGATCCCAGGACCTGGGATCATGACCTGAGCTGAAGGCAGATGCTTTACGACTGAGTCATCCAGGCGCCCCTGTGTTTTCATTTTTAAAGAACACTCAGTTGATAAATATCTTATATTGCTTATAAATATCATAAGCAATCATATGTTTTTTGTATAAATTTTTGTTACACACCAGAGTTAATCCAGCTTTCAAACCCACCGCTGGCTGCGGCGGGGCCTAGCCCTCAGGTAACGCTGCCCTCTGGTGGCAGTGTACCTCCTGGCTGGTACAGGGAAATGGGCCTCTCAAAACTTGTAGATCCGATTTCTTCCCAAAGCCGTGAGCCCACAGGAAGAGCCTCTGGCCAGGGGCGCCCGGGCGCAAACACACTGGCAACTACTCGGCCATCCGGCGGGAATGCTGCTGCCTGGCAGGGCTATACCTCTATATCTGCGCACCCGCCAACCTGCTGGCAGCCTCCCATCCCAGCCCGGTCTCCGCACCCACGCATGCTCAGTGCCTTCAGCCCAGAATGCCCTACGCACCCATCTGTGGTCCTTCCAGCCCTGCCCATACGCTGTGCCCCCGGAACCCCCCCGTGACCCCCTCCCCCAGGCCTCACCCCCGTAGCCAGTTCTCTGCTCCGAGATGTGCTTCTCCAGCCTCAGCCTCAGCTCCGTCAGCCCGTCCCCCTTCCCGGGGGGCCCAGGCTCCACCAGGATGAAGTGGGCCTGGTTGTTGTCCAGGGAGTAGAGGGGGCCCTGGCCGCTGCCGCTGTCCGTGGGGTAGTGGACGGGGCTGTGCTCCTGGACCCCCACCCCACACACAGCATGAGGCCGGGCCTGGACCTGTTCCTACCCCCAGCCAGAGGGAGGGCCGTGTAGCAGGCGCCTGGGGCCCAGGAGCAAGCGGGGCGGGGAGTGGGTCCTCCCGACCGAACCTGGGCGGAGGAAGCTCCCCGCACTGCCCGGCCCTGCCTTAGACAGACCCTGGGCTGGGAGCTGAGCCCGCTCGCCCGGGGTCACCCAGGCTTGCTGTGACCGTCTGGGCCTCCGTCCTGGTCCTGGGCAGAGGGTCCGTCTGTGCTGGCTGGGAGCGGGGCCGCCCGTCCCCACACTATTCCCTAGGCAATGCTGCCACCTGCTGGCCGTGTGCCAGGCTCCCCTCCTCCCCCTCCTGCTTCCTTTCCTTCTTCCTTCCCCTCTCCTCTCTCCCCTCCCCCTCTCCCCTCCCCCACCTCGCCCTCCTCCCCCCCCCATTCTCCCTCCTCTCCCTCTCCCCCTCCCTGCTCCCCGCCCATGGCTTCCCCTCAGTGTCTCAACCCTTCAGGATGCCTCACTCCCAGAGCCTCTCCCCGCCCCAGGGCAGAGGCTGCTCTGTCCACTGCAGGCCTGGTACACAGAGAGCCTCAGATGTTTGCCAAATGCCCCATGGGCAGCAGATGGGCGGCGGTGGTCAGCCTTCAAGACTGCACTGGTGGCATCCTCGGCAGACCCCTCTCCCACCCTGGGGTGAGGGATACTTGCAGGCCATGGGCCCCTCCCTGCCTCCTAGGTCCACCTTGCCCAGCGGCCATGATGCTCCAAGATAGACGCTTACCTGGGCATCTTCCAGAAGCTGACGGTGCAGGACGCGGCCCAGCGAGGCAAGGCCGATGGCCACCACACGGGCCCTGGTGGACGTGCTGGCCAGCGAGTGGTCACGCACGGCCTGTCCGACGTACCGGGCGAGGCCCACTCGGAGCGCACTGGTCAGGATCCAGGCCCCTGCGGCATGGGGCTTAGTGTGCCCGTGGCCCCCAGGTCCTCCCCCACCAGCTGGTAGGCCCAGGTCCCCAGGCCCATGGGAGCCACGGCACCTCTCCCACCTGCGGGTGTCAGCTGGGAGTGGGCCCCCGGGTGGCACCCTGGGCAGCAGGCCACAGCTCCGTCCCATTGTCTGGGCCGGGGACCAGAGCCTGGGAGGGTTTCTCCAGATTAGGAAGCCCTTGGCCTGGGGGGGTCTGTCAGCCTTTTCCTTTGCTGCCCCAACGATCCCCTCTGCGGCGAGGGAGCTCAGGAACCCCATGACCTTGACTGGGTTTTCTGCAGGTTCAGAGCCCAGTAATCTGGTTCTGACCCAGTCCAGCCAGGCTGCTCCCCTGAGGGAGGCGGGGAGGGCAGTGGGGGCCGACCTACAGGCACAGGGTGCAGCAGGGGCTGCCTCCCCTGGGGACATCTCGCCAAGGCCCATGGGGGGAAGCCTGCAGCTCCTGGGGGAGGCCTGAAGCTGGGGGACCTCAGCCACTGCCCTGCATCCCCAGGAGCTACTCCCATTGCAGGCCACACAGAGGGAGCCACACAGGCCAGCTGGGACGCTCCCCACTCAGCTCTGGGGGGCCTCACCCGTGCTCTGAGCCGCCTTCACCAGCCCTTTGCGCAGGACATCCCGCAGCCAGGACTTCATGGCAAATGGCCGCTCCTCTCCCACCAGGGACACCACCAGGTTGGGAGCAGGCAGGTGCCACTCGGTCAGCAGGAGGTCGAAGAGCTTGGAGGGGGCCACATCGCTGGGCACCTTCACGAACTGCAGGCAGGATGGCAGCCTCAGGGTGCAGGGTGGGGGGTGCTGGGCATGGGGGCGCTGGGCACTGGGGGCGCTGGGCACTGGGGGTTGAGGAGAGAGGCTGAACCCCTTTAGGGGCAGGTTGGCAGCAGGAAGCCAGGGCTCAGGTGGCCCTGCCTTGATCTGCCTGTGCCCTGGGCAGCCCTGACTCCTGTCTGGGCCTTGCTTCCCTCTCCATGGGGGGTGGGGGGTGGAGAGAGGAGGGGTCCTGGGTGTGCCGTGCGGGGGCGGGAGGTGGGGGCCAGAGGGCATCAGGAGCTCCACACCCTGCCGGCCCAGGGGCTCTGCACACGTCCCCGGGGCTCGGCGCTCAGGGGAGGAGGTGGGAGCTCAGGAACAAGCACGCGGTGGTTGGCCCCCGGGGCGTGGGGGCCCAGCCTCAGTGGTGCAGGGAGGGCAGCCCTCTTACCTTACCTCGCTTCTTCCCAGACCCTCCAAATTCGATCTCACCCCGGCACAGGCCGGGCCCCGAGCCGGGTGCGGCAGCCCTGGGGCCTCCAGGACGGGTGCCCCCAGCCTCCTGCATGAGGACCTCCCTGGGGGCGCACAGCCGACCTCTGAGGGCAGGAGAGGCGAACCCTGCCCCCTCCCTGCTGGGGCCAGCAGCTGCCGTGCTGACAGAGACTGGGGGCCACCAACAGGTGGCCCCGCCCCAGGGCCCTCCCCAGCAGCTGGCCCGGCCTAGAGCCCCACCACGACGTCCGCAAGCCCCCTTCACAATCTGGCTTCAGTTGTGGGGAACCTCCCTCACCCCACCCCCTTCCCAGATGGAGAGGGGGCGCATCCTGGCCCCTCTACCTGGCTCCCGGTCCTGCTACTCACCCCACCCTGGGTGTCTCTGGCCGACCACTCCTGTCGCCACTCCCGCCAAGGCTTTGGTTGGGGATGTCCTAGAAACCCAGGACGTATTATGGCCTTGCAGACACACAGCCCGCCCTCCCCACACCCTTGTTGGCCCCCGGATGGGGATGGACATCCTGGGTGTGCCTGGGCAGGGAGGGGGCTGGCAGGTGCCCACAGCTCAGGTGCAGGGGGCCGAGGGGTCCTGGGGAAGACCGCGTGGGTGTGGGGGAGGGACAGACCACCCCTCCTTGCCAGAAGGCCCAGGGGGGAAGGCACCCTGCCCCAGGCTCTCCCCACCAAGTTCCTACCCCAGCCCTGGCCTGCCGCCCGGCTCAGTGCCCAGCGCTGCACCCTGCACTCTCTTGGGCGGGTCTGGCACGTCAGCCCCACCCTACTCACCGGGGACAGAGGGCTGCGGGCCCAAGACCGGCCCAGGTGACAAGGAGCTGGCTCCCAAGGCCCTACCTGGCTGCAGGCACCCCTGGGGTCTCCCCCACCCACCAGCTTGCATCCCCCTGCCACCCTTGGCTGCCCGGCTACCTGTCCGTGCGGGCTGTCGGCAGACCCCCTCCCACTGGGCCAGTCTCCCAGCTTCCCTGGGGCAGCCCCGTTGGCCCCCTTCCCCCAGGACGTGTCCTTCCGTGAAACCCCTTCCCCTGGCAGCCCCCCCTTTGTTCGTCAGAGAGGGCTGCCTGCGTACACAGGAGGGGAGGGTGGGTGGTGGGCGGGGCCCTGCCCACCGGACAGGGATCCGCATCCTCACGGCCCTCCCTGTGGGGTCACCCAGACGGACCCGTCCCAGTCCCGACTCCCGGCACCTGTGAACCGTCTGTGGAAATACGCTCTCTGCAGAGGTGATCAGCTCAAGAAGAGGTCGTCGGAGTGTCCCCTAACCCAGTGACGGTGTCCTTGTAAGAAAAGGGTTAGAAACCCACTTGACCTCACAGGCAGAGGCCGGGGGGCTTGCGCTCCCAAGCCCAGGACCACCTGGAGCCCCAGAAGCTGGAAGAGGCAAGGCAGGACCCTCTGCTCCCTCTTTGGAGAGCGGGCAGCCCCGGGGGGCGATGCACAGTGTATGGTCGTGTATGAGGCCGCCGGGGACACCCCTGCAGCCATCAACCCAGAGGGCCCAGAAGCTGAGGCGGCCAGGCTTGCTGGTGCCCTGCCCCCGCAGACCCCAGGCCAGGGCCAGCCCCCCTCCCCACCCAGACTCCCTACATCCAGGCCTGGCTGGGCCTCCTGTGGCTCGGGCTCTGTACGGACAGCCCTGGGGGGGGCGGTGGGTGGGATGCAAATCCTCCTGGCTTCCCTCTCCCAGATCAGGAACCTGGGCCCCAATTTGAATGTGGCCTTTCCAAGCTGGTGACTATTGACTTTTAATGGGAGGCTGGTATCTGGGGAAAAGGCCTGGGTGTGTGTGGGAGGCGACAAGGCGCGGGCCAGGGTAGCTATGCCAAAGTCCCACAGGCCGGGCGGCTCGGAGCCCTTCACTCCCTGCTCCAGAAGTCCAACGCCGAGGTGTCACAGGGTCTTCCCGGCCCCCTCCGCTTCCCGGGGGCTCCAGGCGTCCCTGGGCTGGGGTCCCTGGGCCTCAGGCTCTGCCTTCATCCTTCCGTGGCCTGTTCTGTGTCTCTCTGTCCAAATGCTCCTCATTTCGCGGGGACACCGGTCGCTGGATAGGGGCCTACTCTGCCCACTGTGACCTCATCTAACTAGTGACAGCCGCATAGACCTTATTATCCAGAGAAGTCCCATTCCGAGGTTCGGGGGACATTCCTCTACCCCTGAGGACAGGTGGTATGGGGACAGGGGTGGGGACGGGACAGGGACCCTCAGGGCTGCTGTCTGGGGACAGCCCTCCCTCCCGCCCGCCCGGGACCTGTCATGCCCTCTGCCCAGTGGGCCCATCTCTCGCCGCACCTGGCCGCGCGCCGCAAGCAGAAGGCACACACAGCCGGGTGCGGGGGGCTTGGGGGTTTGGGGCCTGGGCAACAGCGACGGGCTCAAACCCCGTGAGCCTCAGGCTGGCTGGGCCGGGGAGGGGGCCTGGCGGGGACAGCAGCGGGCAGCCGCTGGGGTCCCTCCTCTGACTCCGGGCCCCTGTCCTCTGATGGGACAGGTGGTCCCGAGCAGGAGTGTGGAGCGCAAGCCTCGCCAGCCCCGGGACCACAGCTGCCTCGCCTCACACCACGCGCTAGCCTGGGGCCTGGGACGGCATTTGGGCATTGTGCCGGGTGCTGGGGGTGGCACGGTGCCAGAGGCCAGGCGAATGGAGCCGGTGGGAAGGGTATGCAAACAGGCAGGATTTGCATGAGCAGGTGTCCGGGTCTTTAATGGTCCCCCTTGTTCCTGGAGAGGTGGGGGGGCAGTCAAGGAAGCTGGGGGTGGGATCCTATCTAAGTCCTGGTTGGAATCCTATCCCACAAATCCTGATCAGGGAAACTGAGGCAAAATCTCTAGCCCTGGCAGCCAAGGTAATGGGGGCTCTCACTTGGGGGACAAACGGCCACCCCTCCTCAGAGGCCATCAGGGAAACGGCCCCAGGGCGGACGCAGCCAGGCCCCAGGGGCCCCGGTCCAGCTCTTCCCCTAGGCGTGTGACCTTGGGCAGCCCCTCAGACTCCCTGGGCCCTTCTCTTCCCCCTTGGGATGTAGGGAGAGAGCAGTGACGAGCAGGCGCCCACCGGTCCCACACCAAGCTCTGCAGGCAGTGCCGTGGCCCTGCCAGGTGAGGTTGCGGGTCTCCCCAGGACAGCCGTGGAGGGCGCGGAGCCGGGAGAGGGCCGTGCCGGGGAGCCCCCCCCCCCGGACCGGCGCTGGCTAGGCCCCCTCCTCCTTCCCCGGCAGTCTGGGCAGACGCTGCGCCGAAGTCCAGGACCCAGGGCCTTGGGGCCACCCTTGCTGCCCAGACCCACCCCAAGCACTGGCTTTGGGCCTGGGGCAGAGAAGCCCTCACCCACAGAGAGGCTGTCCCTCCACAGCCCCAGGAAGGCAGGATTCTCTCCAGGCTCCAGACCAGGGATGCGGCCAGAGCGTGTCCCCTGCGGCAGCACCGACCCGTCCCACCTGGAGGAGGGGACCCCTGCTCCTGCCCCCACCTGGAGGCTGGCAGCTCGGGGCACCTACCTGCCTGCCTTCTCCCCGGCGCCCTGACACGCAGCTGCTGGCCGGCGAGCAGAGGGGAAGCTGCCCACCGCACGGCGCGCCCGCCCGCTAGCTCCCTGCTCCTCCTCCCTCCCGCTCTCCACCCTGGCACCTGGCAGCCAATGCCGTGAGCAGCACGGGTGCCACCTGATTGGGGCACGGCAGACCCACAGGCCTGCCGTGGCCAAAGCCACCAGCACGGAGGGCCAGCCCTCCCCGGCCCGACTGGCCCAGCGGCCCCTGGGCTCTGACAGGTGGGCCCCCGTAGGAGTGGCTGCCGGGGCACCTCACTTGCTGGTCGTGCCCTCCACGTGTGGCCTGGGGCTGAGTCCGGTCAGTGTCACACCCAACATACCTCAGTTTCTCTCTCCAACCAGCAGGAATGGCTGACCCCAGAGTGTGCGGCCCAGCCGCTGCGGGCGCGTCCCAGGGCACATGGTCCTGGAGGTGACCCGCCGTGAGCACTGTCTTCATGCAGGGCAGGACGGAGTGCCCGGGTGTGTGTGCGGGGGTTGCTGTCGGGAATCCCAGAGTCCTGGGCTCGCACCCTGAGTATCTGTCAGGCTCCTGAACCACGCTGGGCCTCAGTTTCTCTGAAAACTGGGCCCCGGAATAGTCCAGCTTCTGGGAACTGGTGGGTCACACCTGATGGCAGAGCCTGGACGACACTTCTGTGGGCCCCTCCCCAGACCGCCTCCCAGGACCCCCTCATTCCCTGAGCTCCAGGAGGGCTGGGGGACAGCCTCCAGGCCCCGCCCTCTGGGACCCCCTAGGGCCTCTCCAGGCTGGCCCATCGGCCACCAGAGGGCGCCCCAGGACCGCAAGCGGAGTCAGGATGGCGGAGGTGCTGGGGTGGCCGAAGCCAGGTTTGCCCCTGGACAGGAGGGCTCAGACCAGGGCCTGGAGCGCAGCCCGTAGCTTTGGGGGAAGAGGGGCTTTCTGAAGCCCCTCAGGAAATAACAGGCCCCGGGTACGTGGAACCCACAAACCCTCGGGGCCTGAGGGCCTGTGGACCAGATTCTGAACGGGCCGGACCGCAGCCCCGGTAAGGTAGGGGGCTGGGGGGGCTCTGCTGGGACGGCCCCCAACTCTGGAAGATCAGCCTGGGCTCACACCCACCCTGCAGCCTGGGGCCTGAGCCTGCTGGGGGTCCTGCCTGTGTCAGAGAATGTGGGGAGTGAGGAGGTCTCCCCAGACTCTCCAGCCGGTGGGACAGGGCAGTCTTGGACCCTTCCCTTCCTCTGTTCCCATGTCCTGCCCCTCTACCTCTGCCTCCTGGACACCCCTCCCCAGCCCCCCCCAGCCCAGTACCAGGCCGTGCTCCTTTCCTGCCTACAACGCTCCATGGCTCCCTATTGTCGCACGGAATGCAAACCAGCCCGCGGCCCCTGCCCTCCCAGGCCATCGCCCACCTCCCTCTCTCCAGGTATCGGGACTCCCCTCTGCTGTCCCCCTGCGCCCCCTGCCCCAGCACAGGGTCCTGCTGGGTCTCTCTTCCTCGCTTCCTGGTGTTATTCTCCAGGAACCTGGCCCTCTGGAGTGACTTTCATGTACTTGTTTGCCGCCTGTCCACTTCCTGCTCGGAGCTGGGGGCCACTGAGGTGCTTCCCGGGCTCAGACCACAGCCGCCGGGGGACCGAGCGAGTGTGCAGGGGCGTGTGTCAGTGCGAGAGCCACTCGGGGCAGAGACGGGGCGAGCTCAGCAGGGGCTGGGGCACCGCTGTGAGGGGAGGGTCGCCCGGTGCCAGAGCGACATCCGAGGGGGCCTCCCTCACTTTGTACGGTTGGCCCCAGGGGCCAGCACTACACGTGACGGACGGGATTGCAATCGAGTGACACCTCCTTTGGGGGACACCTCTCGGCCACGTCGGCAGAGAGCAGGACCAGCCCCCAGGCCACTGTCCCTGGAACGGCAGGCCCCCCGGGGGGGAGGCTGACCACAGAGACCCACAGAGGCGCAGCCGAGGCCTGGGAAGGAGAGCGCCAGCACTCATGTGGGCCTGGACGGGCAGCCCTGCCCCGTGCCTGCTGCCGGCCACGCAGGGTGTAACACGCGGGAAGGCTGGCAGCCCTCTGGCCACCTTTGCTCTTTTGTCTCGTAGCACGAAAGCCATGAAAGCCACAAGCCATAGAGGGGGCCCCACCGGCCCTGGGTCTCCTCCAACCTTAAGCCTCCCTGGGTCTGCATGCGGTCCAGACTCAGGGACCCTCAGACAGGAAGGGTCCTGCCCTGGTCTTCGGGGGGGGATGCTCCCTCTGGCCACTCGCGGGTGGAGAGGGTAGGGCAGGCTCTGCAGGACCGGTCCAAGAGGCCAAGAGCTCCATGGGCTTCAGTGTCACCCGTGCAGAGCAGCCCAGACCCCCAGCCCCCTCCCCACACTCCTGGGTCTGCAGCCCCCCCCCCCCCCCCACCTTGGAACCCGCGGCTGTGAAGCCGCCCCTCA